AGCAGGCGCTTCTCGCCGCTTTTCCTCTGCCATGAAGCTCATTTACGAAGTTCCTGCCTCGCGACGCAAGCTCCAACCACGTCGTGGGAGTGCTGGTGACCTATAATGTCGCTTCAGGGCCTCGAAACCGAGAAATCGTCGCTGATCCCAAGTGAGGACAAGTCTACAGTGACATCCGGCAAACCCCGTCGGAAGCTCGGACATGTTGCGTTGATTGCACTACTATCGACGCTCGCCATCACTGGGCTCCTTATGCTTTTCCGCTGGACTCCAGGCACGCAGACCACCACCGGATTCATCTCAAACCCGTCCGTTCCTCGAATCCGGGTGAGTTTTCCGGCGTCGGTACATTCGAAGCCGATCACCGGTCGGTTGATGGTTTGCATCGCTCAAAAGCATGCCGTGAGTGACCCACAAGGCGAAGACCAGCCTCGGTTCCTCGTTGGTGATTCGAAAGATACGCAGCAGATTTTTGCAGTCGACGTCTGGGGTTTCGCTCCGGGTGATATGAAGACGGAGCATCGAGTGGTGAATGCCACACACGCGGTAGGCTATCCCATGCTCTTCATGCACCAAGTACCTGCTGGAGAGTATTGGGTACAAGCAGTTCTACACCCGTACGTGGAGTACAATCGCTCGGATGGCTGGAATCTCCAACTTCCCAGCTTCACGACGTTCGAGAGTGACGGTGGCGTGCTCACGGCCCCCGGCACGCTTTACAGTGCCGCTAAACTCGCACTCTTCGACCCTGCAACCTTCTCGGTTGATCTTGTACTAACACAAGTGGAACCGGAACTCCCACCTCTTGAAGAACCTCATGAACTGCTCAAACACGTGACGTTCCGCAGTCCGTCGCTATCGGATTTCTGGGGCACGGACGTGCTTCTGAAAGCCTGGGTACTGCTACCGCACCGCTTTTTCGACGACGAAATGAAGGTTGTACATTATCCTCTGTTCATCTACCACACGCACTACAGTCGCGAGTTCGAACACAGCTTCTACCCGTCTCCTCCTGCAAACACAACGTCCGCGTCACTAGGCGAACAGTACGGATACTACTTCTTCTCCAACTGGACGTCTGATAAACCGACTGATCCGTTCACCAACAAGAGAGGAATCGTCGTGCAGCTTCAACATGCCAATCCGTACTACGATGATTCGTATGCAGTCAACAGCGCTAACATCGGACCGTACGGCGACGCCATCACGTACGAGTTCCTACCATATCTCGAGAAGAAATTCCGTGGTATTGGTGAAGGATGGGCGCGTACAATGTACGGCGGGTCCACTGGCGGCTGGGAATCCTTCGCCGTCCAGGTCTACTATCCCGAAGAGTACAACGGTTGCTGGTCGTTCTGTCCTGATGCGTTCGACTTCCACAGATTCCAACAAGTGGATCTCTTCGCTAACAAGAACGCTTACTATGCTCGCGGTGACTGGACTCAGAAGGACCGCGGTGCTAAGCGTAACTATCTCGGTGATATTCGAGAAACGATGGCCGAAGAGAACCACCACGAACTCGCGATGGGCTCACGAGGACGTTCCGGTGGTCAATGGGATGCGTGGCAAGCCGTGTATTCTCCGTTAAACAACACGGACGGCTACCCTGCTGCCGTTTGGGATAAACTTACAGGTGAGATCAATCCACAAGTCGTAGAATACTGGGAAGCGCACTACGACGTTCGTGCCAAGCTCCAGCGTGAGTGGCACGCCCGGGGACTCGGTCACAAACTCGTCAACAAGCTGCACGTGTACGTGGGCGTCACCGACAGCTACTACCTGAACGACGCCGTTTTCCTGCTTGAAGACTTCTTGAAGACCACTACCGAGCCGTATTACAACGGTTCTATCGTGTACGGCGTCACGGACGGCCGTGGATACGAACACTGCTGGACAGGCAGCTTCGATCAGTCGCTGTCGCTTG